CCTTCTGAAGCATCTGTACGTTTTTCCAGGGATGCCTGTGGCCACCAGACTTAACTCACCCCCTGCAGGGAGCCCGCCCAGCTGAAGGACAGCCCTCCTATCTCTAAGCCCCACAGAACTTTATCCCTTTCTGGCCTTTCATTTTTTATATCGGAATCATTTGAGGAGCTGTCTTGTCTGCCCTGCAGTCCTGGGAGTTCCTTAATGACAGAATGAAGCCATATTTATCATGGGGGCCCCTCAGAGCATTATACAGAGCCCAACATACAGCAAGTCTGCAGTTAATGTCTGATGAGTGAATGAGAAGCCAAATGAGTAGATGCTAGAAGAATTCCTCTCTGTGCCCAGTTCTGGAAGCATTTCACACCACCGAGGCCCCAGAACATGTTCTGACCATTGTTAAGCCTCTGGGCAGCATCTGGCAGCTGCCACTGTACCTCCTTACCATGCCCAGAAAGGTACACAGAAGTTCAGGTTCCACTGCCAAGGAGGGCAACTCCCTCTTATAGGAACCGAGGGACAGGCATCTGACAACAGGATTTCCCTGTTCTTTAATCACTGTTATGCTGGGGAAACGCCAAAGCTTTTGTTCCTTGAAAGGACTCATTAATCCTAGAGGTAGTCAGCAATTTTCACTTGGAGTGGGAATCTTAACCTTCACCCTGACACTCTTATTCTTTACCTGAGGGAAGAATCCAGCTCTTCTCTACTCAATAGAACCAGTCTTTTTGGGGGTGAAGGGGACTAATGGGATGGAAGGGCTAAGTCACCTTGATCAGCTCTTTTAAGAAAATCCTACAGGGCTTTGTGAAAGTGGAGTGCTGTAGACCTTCCTGCGGGGCCTAGAACAGCCTCCTCCTCTCAGACCAAGCTAGCAGAGAGATAGGCAAAAGGGGGAACCCTTGGGATCAATGAAGCTCTGTCCCCTGCTGTCCTGATGCCCAGCGGCTCCACCATCTCCTGGCCTCCAGATTGCCAGACCAAGGGTGCACCCTTCATGCCCAAAGCAGTCCCCACCTTACCCTCTCCTCATGCAAGCTCCAGCTTCACCCTCCAGCTCCACAGGGTCCTAGGACCACCCTACCTTCCCTTGCCCATTTGAAATGCTCACTGAGAGCTTTTTCCATGTTGGTACCTGGGGACATGGGACAAATCGGCCATTGTCCCTGCATCCAGGGCCACTGCCAGACTTGCAGATAAGGGGTTACAGTTCCCTATTGCAAGTGCAAAGGTAGACATGCTGGAGAGTTCTACAGGCCTGCAGGAGGAAGCCCCCATGGGCTTGAGGAGGGTGGGTGGTCAGGGGAATCTTCTGGAGGTGGTGACATAGGTTCTAGGCCTTCATGGGCCCTAAGGGACTCACTAGAGATCTCAGGGTGGGGAGAGCATTCCTGGTACAACTGTGTAGAGGCTGGAGAAAGCCTGGATGTGATTTTGAAGAAGTGGATGGGTAGCTGCGTGTGTGGAGGAGGTTAGATTTATTCTGCATCCCCAGTGGTGTGGGAGGAAACCAGGGTTAATGCTTGGCAGGCGTGAGGAGACAGATTTTGTAATGAAGGACTTTCTAAGTGTCAGCACCAAAGGAGGATGCTCCGTTACCTGGAGGAGTTCAGGCAGAGCTGGGCCAACCGCATGGCAGGGATGCTGGGGAGAATCACTCAAGCATGAGGGTGAGGCAGGTTGGGTTAAACAAATAATGTTCAAGCTTTTTTCAAGACAAATCGCTTTATTCAAATGGAAGCTTCTAGTGGGCAGCAGATGAAGGCAGAACTGGTAAGACTGAATAAAGCTGAGGAGGGGGCTCCAGAGTCCTATCCTCTTGCTGCCCTTACCTTCCAGTTTGAGATGCCATGATGATATCCAGAACCTTCTGGATTTTTTTTTTTTTTTTTTTTTTCGTTCGTCTTGCTGCCCTTACCTTCCAGTTTGAGATGCCATGATGATATCCAGAACCTTCTGGATTTTTTTTTTTTTTTTTTTTTGCAGTACGTTGGCCTCTCACTGTGGTGGCCTCTCCCGTTGTGGAGCACAGGCTCCAGACGCACAGGCTCAGCGGCCATGGCTTATGGGCCCAGCCACTCCGCGGCATGTGGGATCTTCCCGGACCAGGGCACGAACCCGTGTCCTCTGCATCGGCAGGCGGACTCTCAACCACTGCGCCACCAGGGAAGCCCTGGATTTTTAAAAATACATTTTTATTGGAGTATAATTGCTTCACAATACCATGTTAGTTTCTGTTGCACAATAAAGTGAATCAGCCATATGCATACACATGTCCCCATATCCCATCCCTCTTGAGCCTCCCTCCCATCCTCCCTATCCCACCCCCTAGGTCAATGCAAAGCATTGAGCTGATGTCCCTGTGCTATGCTGCTGCCTCCCACCAGCCAACTATTTTACATTCGGTAGTGTATATACATTGATGCTACTCACTTCGCCCCAGCTTCGCCCTCCCTCTCCATGTCCTCAAGTCCATTCTCTATGTCTATCTCTTTATTCCTGCCCTACAGCTGGGTTCATCAGTAACATTTTTTTTTTAGATTCCATATATATGTGTTAGCATACAGTATTTGTTTTTCTCTTTCTGTCTTACTGCACTATGTATGACAGACTCTAGGTCCATCCAACTCTCTACAGATAACTCAATTTCATTTCTTTTTATGGCTGAGTATATTCCATTGTATATATTTGACACATCTTCTTTATCCATTCGTCTGTAGATGGACATTTAGGTTGGTTCCATGTCCTGGCTATTGTAAATAGTGCTGCGATGAACATTGTGGTGCATGTGTCTTTTTGAATTATGGTTTTCTCAAGGTAGATGCCCAGTAGTGGGATTGCTGGGTCATATGGTAGTTCTATTTTTAGTTTTTTAAGGAACCTCCATACTGTTTTCCATAGTTAGAGCCTTCTGTTGTTTTTTCTTTTTCCAGTGATTGAGGCATTTTATTGAAGCTTTGGCGACTGGTTTTGGGGACATTTTGCTGGTTTTAATCCCACCTCCTCTCCCTCCTTTCTCTACACCTGCCCCCAAGAAGGGAGCCTGGAGCATGTGGGGAATTTTAGAGCATCTATACAGTCAGCATTTGTTGAGAACCTACCGTGTATCAGCCACCTCTCTAGGTGCTTGGAATAAAGCAGAGAATAAGACAGATGCCATGGACTTGACCTCGTGGAGTTCACAGTCTAGTGAGGAAGCAGAGTCATAGACATATTTATGACACATTGTGATAAGCACTGGTGGGCAGAGGGGTTGGGGGGAGCCTACCCTACCTGAGGTATCTAGTCCTGGCCAGGCCACTGGTAGAACCCAGGCCTCCCAACTGCCGGGCCAGCTGTCTTTCTTCTGCACCAAGCTGCACAGCAGGGACGTGAGGGTGGGTTAGCAGGGCTGTCAGGAGATGAGTCTCCCCACCTATGGGATCCCCCAGGGCCTGGGGGCTTCTGAACCCTTCTCCCCAAACTCACAGCCTGGAGTGGTTCCTGGAAGCACCCTCATACCCTCAAGTGGGAGCCCAGAAATCCCTGTTGCCACAGCAAAGCCTCTTAGAACAGGGCCTACACTGTCCACAGCAGGCATGCCAGGGTCCAGGCTACAGCCAAGTGGCCTGGGGGGAGCTGGAGTCTGACTGCTGCTCCTGGCTTCATGCTCAGCACTGGGGAAGGAGCTGTGAGATCTAGGCTACAGGGAAGATAGATTCAAGGCTCTCTGCAATATCTTCACCAGTCACCACTGTATGACCTTGAACTGGTCCCTTCTCGACTCTATGCCTCACTTTCTTCACTTGTAACCTGGGGGATGGATGCTGTTCTTCTTTTCCCAGCACCCCCAGTCCTAATCCTATCAGAGTTTTCTCTCTGCTGAAAGCACAGGGTAGAGCAGGCGACCTTAATTTGGGCTCTGGAGTTTGGAAGGCCCACCCCAGCCTGGTAATGACCCAGTAGGGGGACTTTACGGCATTGCTCTAAGGCCAGGAGTCCCTTGGATGTCTCTGAAGTGAGTGGTCTGGAGGCTGCTGAGGTGAGGACCAGCGGTAGCAGCTGCAGGGAAGCTGGGAGCCAGGCCAGCCGCGAGTTTGCAGAGGAGCCAGGGTTTCTGCTGGCTGAGGTCTCATCCACCCACTGGGGCCTGGAGGAACCCCGGCCATCTCAGGGAGGTCAGCTTTCCCTCGAGGCTTAGGATAAGAATCCTCAGGCCTGAGAGGCTCTCTGGACCCAGTGTCCAACCTCCGCACCTCAGTGATTAGGCTCTGTAGCTGCAGAGCCAGGGGTGGATCTTGTTTCTTCCAACGGGCAGGCAGGTACCCTTCTCACACTCCTGTCCACCTGGGGCCAGACCCCTGCTTCCCATCCGTGTGCTCACCTACCCCTGTATCCATGGAGGATCCTAGGTCTGCTGAGAGACACCCAATGCCCCCGTGGATTCAGAACTCCATTTGTGGGTAACACACCCCATCTGTCCTGGACTTCAGTGTTCCTCCACAGACACGTTCTGTCTAGAGGACTAAGGTTCTGGTAGGAGAGAGATGGCCATGTGGAGAGTACTGGGTGAAGAGGGGGTGGGGGCAGGATTGGGGGGTGGCTGGAAGGTTGAGGGGAACGGAAACTCCCCTTTTGCTTTTTATGGTGACAGGGACCACTTTGACTGTCTGGACAGAGAGGTCCTGAGCTGGGGCAGGGTGACGGGGACCTAAGCAGGGGGGCCTAGAGTCAGAGGTAAGGAGATGGTCAGGGAGGTGAACCCAAAGGGCCCAGAAGAGACCCACACTTTTGTTGCTTCTTGTTTTGTTCTTACTGAATGCAGAAATTGAGGCCCAGTTAAGTCACAGGGCTGTCAAACTCCCAGACCTCCAGGAAGGTCAGGTTGGGAAGGGGGTGGGGAAAGAAGCACACAGAACACTGGCTCGGAGGAAGACTTTATATTTCACCCCCATCTCCCTGCCCTGCAGCTAAGGCAGCACCGTGGCCCTAGGTGTGCAGGGGCCAGTGGCCTGACCTGATTAGTGGCTGTGGCCATGATTGCCATGGCTGTGGCCGTGGCCTGAACCACCCTCCCTGAAGCCTGGCCCGTGCCTGTGGCCTACTCCTGGGGGCGCCGTCTTGTGCATCTCCTCGTGGGAGGCTTCTGTCAGCTTGCCCACCAGCACGGAGAACTCCTGGAAGTTCAGCTCCTTGTCTACATCTGTGTCCAGGTCCTCCATGATCTCGTTTATGGCTTTGTCATCCTTCGTCTCCTTCTGCCGGTGGGAGACACAGGGCAGTCAGGGCTGGGTGTGGTCAGGGCTAAGGACGGGGAGCACAGCAAGTGACCCGATGGCAAAGGCAGAGTGACGCCAGGCTCCTGGGCCTCAGTTTGAGCATCTGCTGGACACTTTCTGATTCCTGGCCACCACAATTCTCTCCATTTTACAGGAGAGGAACTGAGGTTGAGTGACTTGCCTGAGGTCACACAGTTCATAAGTACAGAGATGTCTCCTCATTTGGTCCTTATAACAATGATAGGGAGACTTGGAATCTTCCTTGAGGAAGACTTGAGGAAACAGTCGTACAAACGGTAATTAGCTTGTGCAGATTGACAAGGCTTGGGAGCAGAAGGGTGGACACGCACATTCCTATCTGGCTCAGAGCCTGGTCTTGTCCCGTTCCCTCTACTCCTATTCATGCCACGCCCTCCTCTTCCTGCCTCCCCCCTCCCTCTCCAGGTTACTACTTAGTGACTCTCATTTCAGCCTGCATGGTGGGGAAGCACCCGAGGGAAACGAGATGGCGACAGAGAGCAGTGTGGTGTGATAAGTGTGCAAGGGGGGCATGAGGGGAGGTGAAGGATCCAGGCCCCACTGGGTTCCAGCCCCGCCTCCCACTGGCTGGGGCACCCCCTCTGAGGCTTCTCCTGGGAACCTGCAGGTGCCCAGCTCATCTCCCATGCCCTTCCCACTCTGCAACGCTTCAGCGTGATCTGCTTTTTTGCACCTTTGGCCTCACCCTGGCAGATCACTCGCTCCTGAGTAGCCCATAGGAGGGGGTCCAGCTTCCCATCCTGGCCTACCTGCTCTGCATGTGGGGCGTGGTGGATGGGGTGGGATAGGGGTCTCACAAAGGAAAACATTGCCCACACAACCTCTTGGCTGTATCCTCTCTTGTCCACCCTGACCGAGCGTCCTGCTTGCTGAGGTCTGCAACTTCAGGGAGCTGTCAGCAACCCCAGTACCTCCGACAGCTGTGATTCTCCACCTTTCCAAGGTGGGGAGGGGCTCCAGGCAGGGCTGGCCACCTATCCCGGAACATCTTGCTCCAGGAATGGAACTGAGACTGGGACCTAGATGCCCCACCCTTCTTAGTCCAGTCCTCTGTGTCCCCAAAGTCACCAAATTTGTAAAGAAAACAAAAAGATCCTGTGGAACGAATCCTCCTTTTCTTAGAGCTGCCTAATCATGTTCAGATCAGGGAAATAAACTAACATGTTACTGAGTGCTTTGTACACACTGGTGCTGGGCTGGGTCCTTTCCCACATGCTGTTCATTTGTTTCTTACCAGAGAGCCTTTGGATTAAAAAAGCCCTCTGGGGTCTTCCACTCCAAGTCCATCTGAGGCTTACAATCTCATTGGCTTCCTGCCAAGGGTAGTCTTCACTTGCTTCCCCCCACCAAAATTCAGGTCTCAACTCAAATGTCACCTCCTTAGAGGGGCCCTTCATGTCCATTTAACTAGTCACCTCTCCCCGTATCCAGCCCACATCACCCACAGTGCTCTTTCTGTTTTTCTTTCAGGTACTTATTGGCTGTGGATCTATCTGTGTTCTTGATTGGTCAACACATTCGTTGCGTGTCTCTCCCATCAGGACAGTGGGTCCCGGTGGGCCACTACATGCCCTGCCCAGGATGGGACCTGGCACACTGCACATGCTCAGTCTGTTAGTGCCACCTAACATGGACCACCTCTAGTGACAGTGTCAAAATCCTGTTCCAAACATGGAGCCCACTGCCTCTGGAGGCTAGGTTGAAGGGGCAAGAACTTTTTCCTTGACCATTGCAGATTGCACCCCTATTCTCCATCCTTAGCCCAGACTGTCTGGGTCAGTTCTGACAGGAGTCCAGCCCTACCTTGAGAAAGTTTGGCAGCTCTTTTTTCACCAGCTCTTTGAATTCTTTCTTGTTCAGGGTGTCCGGGGGCTGCAGCCGTATAGAGTACTGGTGGAAGATATTGATGATGGTTTCTATGCTGCTTTCCAGCTGCGACAGTTGGTCAGCCATCTTCCTGCACTCTGTTTGAGCAAAGGAGAAGCAAGAGTTCTGGTGCTTAGAAGAAAAGACCATCAAGCTTCCTTGACACCTCCTACTGGCTGCACGCAGGAATGAAGGGGGAAACAGAATAAAAAGAAAGCAGGGGCTGCAACAGAACTGGGAGATGACCCTGTTCCATACATGGTAGGAATGGTTTACAGACCATCTAGGGAGTGCTAAAAAGGAGAACCTTTGAGGAGAGGAGGCTGCAGCAGAACATGACCTAAGAAAACGGGAAGGAAGCTTTAAAGTGAGCAGTCAATTGAGGAGGGCTTCCAGGAGGAGGTTTGAAATGAAGATGGGTGAGGGGAGTAAAGAGTCAGCAGGCAGGCTCCGGCCCCGGGGAAACTGGCAGCTCACTTACCCAAGCCCAGGAGTCACACAGAGGGGTTTGACAGAAAGATGGGGGCCCAGTATTTATAGGCCTCTGGCTGAGAAACTCAGCCTTCTTGTGGGAAGATTGCTTCACAGGTAAGCAGTGTGGTAACCCTGAACTAGGCTGTGTCACTGCCAGGAAGGGGGCTGGGCTGGGACAAGAAATGTTGACAAAGCCCTTTTTGCCTTTTTGTGAAATTCCAAGCCCTGGCCTGGAGCTGGTTTGGGAGGAAGCTTGTTGGTTAGTCCACTTCCCCTCCACACCACAGCCCTGCCTTCCCTGAGCAAGCTAGCAAGCTGCCTCTCCTCTGGCACCCCTCTCTCCCCGTGTCCCCGCTGAGGTTGTGCCTTCCCACCTGCAATAGCCAGTGTCTGATGGTGGGCTGAGGACCCCTGAGGTGGCCAACCCTCTCTGTCTGGGCAGCCCAACAAGGATGGCCCTGCCAAGCCCTGCGATGAGTGCTCTTAGGAGGGCGAGGGGCCTGCCCTCCATTGTTTGGGCTTATGGAGGAAGCACAGACAGCAGCCTGCATCCGTCCATCCCAGCAGGTGCCCGGGGCGCCTCTCCTGTGTGTGTCAACAGCGCCCTCTGCTGCCTGTACCAGGGCACATTTCACTCTGGACCAAGGATCTCAAGACACAAGCTTGCAGGAACTAGGGACCTGGAGTAAAGTGGTGAAGCGGGGTGGGCTGGAGAACACCAAGAGCACCATCAGTAGCATGACTTGTGACAACCGACATGGGGCCTCAGGGTTGGGGACACTAGGGAGTGGTGAGGACTGTGGCAAATAAGAGCATTCCTAACTTGAAGGGGCAGCTGGTACTCAGCCTCAGGGGAAGGCGGCCACGTGGGAAAGTGGATCAGGTGTTAATGGACCTCCCAAAGGTCCAGGGAATCTGAAATTTTATGTGAAAACTCCTGCTTATAAGATTCGTCAACTAATTTTTTCTTTTACATCTTTATTGGAGTATAATTACTTTACAATGGTGTTAGTTTCTGCTTTATAACAAAGTGAATCAGTTATACATATACATATGTTCCCATATCTCTTCCCTCTTGCGTCTCCCTCCCTCCTGTGCTCCGTATCCCACCCCTCTAGGTGGTCACAAAGCACCGAGCTGATCTCCCTGTGCTATGCGGCTGCTTCCCACTAGCTATCTATTTTACGTTTGGTAGAGTATAAATGTCCATGCCACTCTCTCACTTTGTCACAGCTTACCCTTCCCCCTCCCCATATCCTCAAGTCCATTCCCTAGTAGGTCTGTGTCTTTATTCCCGTCTTATCTGTAGATTCTTCATGACTTCTTTTTTCTTAGATTCCATAAATATATGTTAGCATACGGTATTTGTCATTCTCTTTCTGACTTACTTCACTCTGTATGACAGACTCTAGGTCCATCCACCTCACTATAAATAACTCAATTTCATTTCTTTTTATGGCTGAGTAATATTCCATTGTATATATGTGCCACATCTTCTTTATCCATTCATCCAATGATGGACACTTAGTTTGCGTCCATCTGCTGGCTATTATAAATAGAGCTGCAATGAACATTTTGGTACATGACTCTTTTTGAATTATGGTTTTCTCAGGGTATATGCCCAGTAGTGAGATTGCTGGGTCATATGGTAGTTCTATCTGTAGTTTTTTAAGGAACCTCCATACTGTTCTCCATAGTGGTTGTACCAATTCACATTCCCACCAGCAATGCAAGGGTGTTCCCTTTTCTCCACACCCTCTCCAGCATTTATTATTTCTAGAATTTTGATGATGGCCATTCTAACCGGTGTGAGATGATATCTCATTGTAGTTTTGATATGCATTTCTCTAATGTTTAGTGGTGTTGAGCAACCTTCATGTGTTTGTTGGCAATCTGTATATCTTCTTTGGAGAAATGTCTATTTAGGTCTTCTGCCTATTTTTGGATTGGGTTGTTTGTTTTTTTGTTATTGAGCTGCATGAGCTGCTTGAAAATTTTGGAGATTAATCCTTTGTCAGTTGCTTCATTTGCAAATATTTTCTCCCATTCTGAGGGTTGTCTTTTGGTCTTGTTTATAGTTTCCTTTGTTGTGCAAAAGCTTTGAAGTTTCATTAGGTCCAATTTGTTTATTTTTGTTTTTATTTCCGTTTTTCTAGGAGGTGGGTCAAAAAGGATCTTGCTGTGATTTATGTCATAGAGTGTTCTGCCTATGTTTTCCTCTAAGAGTTTGATAGTTTCTGGCCTTACATTTAGGTCTTTAATCCATTTTGAGCTTATTTTTGTGGATGGTGTTAGGGAGTGTTCTAATTTCATTCTTTTATATGTAGCTGTCCAGTTTTCCCAGCACCACTTATTGAAGAGGCTGTCTTTTCTCCACTGTACATTCCTGCCTCCTTTACCAAAGATAAGGTGACCATATGTACGTGGGTTTATCTCTGGGCTTTCTATCCTGTTCTACTGATCTATATTTCTGTTTTTGTGCAAGGACCATACTGTCTTGATTACTGTAGCTTTGTAGTATAGTCTGAAGTCAGGCAGCCTGATTCCCCCAGCTCCGTTTTTTGTTCTCAAGATTGCTTTGGCTATTCGGGGTCTTTTGTGTTTCCATACAAATTGTGAAATTTTGTGTTCTAGTTCTGTGAAAAATGCCAGTGGTAGTTTGATAGGGATTGCATTGAATCTATAGATTGCTTTGGGTAGTAGAGTCATTTTGACCATGTTGATTCTTCCAATCCAAGAACACGGTATATCTCTCCATCTATTTGTATCATCTTTAATTTCTTTCATCAGTGTCTTATAATTTTCTGCATACAGGTCTTTTGTCTCCTTAGGTAAGTTTATTCCTAGATATTTTATTCTTTTTGTTGCAGTGGTAAATAGTCGTGTTTTCTTGATTTCACTTTCAGATTTTTCATGATTATTGTATAGGAATGCCAGACATTTCTGTGCATTAAATTTGTATCCTGCAACTTTACCAAATTCATTGATTAGCTCTAGTAGTTTTTTGGTAGCATCTTTAGGAATCTCTATGTATAGTATCATGTCATCTGCAAACAGTGACTGCTTTACTTCTTCTTTTCTGATTTGGATTCCTTTTATTTCCTTTTCTTCTCTGATTGCTGTGGCTAAAACTTCCAAAACTATGTTGAATAAGAGTGGTGAGAGTGGGCAACCTTGTCTTGTGTCTGATCTTAGTGGAAATGCTTTCAGTTTTTCACCATTGAGGATGATGTTGGCTGTGTGCTTGTCATATTTGGCCTTTATTATGTTGAGGAAAGTTCCCTCTATGCCTACTTTTTCCATGGTTTTTATCATAAATGGGTGTTGAATTTTGTCAAAAGCTTTCTCTGCATCTATTGAGATGATCATATGGTTTTTCTCCTTCAATTTGTTAATATGGTTTATCACATTGATAGATTTGCGTATATTGAAGAATCCTTGCATTCCTGGAATAAACCCCACTTGATCATGGTGTATGATCCTTTTAATGTGCTGTTGGATTCTGTTTGCTAGTATTTTGTTGAGGATTTTTGCATCTATGTTCATCAGTGATATTGGCCTGTAGTTTTCTTTCTTTGTGACATCCTTGTCTGGTTTTGGTATCAGGGTGATGGTGGCCTCGTAGAAGGAATTTGGGAGTGTTCCACCCTCTGCTATATTTTGGAAGAGTTTGAGAAGTATAGGTGTTAGCTCTTCTCTAAATGTTTGATAGAATTCGCCTGTGAAGCCATCTGGTCCTGGGCTTTTGTTTGTTGGAAGATTTTTAATCACAGTTTCAATTTCAGTGCTTGTGATTGGTCTGTTCATATTTTCTATTTCTTCCTGATTCAGTCTTGGCAGGTTTTGCATTTCTAAGAATTTGTCCATTTTTCCAGGTTGTCCATTTTATTGGCATAGAGTTGCTTTTAGTAATCTCTTATGATCTTTTGTATTTCTGCAGTGCCAGTTGTTACTTCTCCTTTTTCATTTCTAATCCTATTGATTTTAGTCTTCTCCGTTTTTTTCTTTATGAGTCTGGCTATGGTTTATCAATTTTGTTTATCTTCTCAAAGAACCAGCTTTTAGTTTTATTGACCTTTGCTATTGTTTCCTTCCTTCCTTTTTCATTTATTTCTGATCTGATCTTAACAATTTCTTTCCTTCTGATAACTTTGGGGAATTTTTGTTCTTCTTTCTCTAATTGCTTTAGGTGCAAGGTTAGGTTGTTTATTCGAGATGTTTCCTGTTTCTTAAGATAGGATTGTATTGCTATAAATTTCCCTCTTAGAACTGCTTTTGCTGCATCCCATAGGTTTAGGGTCATCTTGTCTCCATTGTTATTTGTTCCTAGGTATTTTTTGATTTCCTCTTTGATTTCTTCAGTGATCACTTCATTATTAAGTAGTGTATTGTTTAGCTCCATGTGTTTGTATTTTTTACAGATCTTTTCCTGTAATTGATATCTAGTCTCATAGCGTTGTGGTAGGAAAAGATACTTGATACAATTTCAATTTTCTTAAATTTACCAAGGCTTGATTTGTGACCCAAGATATGACCTAACCTGGAGAATGTTCCATGAGCACTTGAGAAAAATGTGTATTTTGTTGTTTTTGGATGGAATGTCCTATAAATAT